GTATTTTGCTGCCTAATTCTTTTATGAAGGTAAAAGAGAGGAGTACCCTCAGGAAGATGAAGTATCTTACATGACATGTCAGACCTTTTGTCCCTGGATTTGCCAAACTTCCCTCATAAGAATCATCTGAGGTTCTTAGTAAAAAAATACAGATTCCCAGGACCCACTGTAGACCCACTGGGTCTGAAACCTCAGGGGAGGCCTGGAGAGCTATTTGTTTAATTAATATCCCAGTGATTCTTACCTATAAAATACGGGAAACTGATTTTTCTCATTGTATTCTTGGAAAAGGCCTAGACATTTCATTCCATAGATAATTGTCTTTTAGAGTTTTGAAAGACTAGTCACTTGTTGGCTACGATTTCAGCCCAGCAATGGCTCCTCAGTCTCTTGACGTAAGTATAGGCATTTTAAGGCAAGTGCTTTTTTCGTAGCATATGTTCTCATTATATGGTAATTCCTTCAAATGCCTGTCATCAGTCTAAAGCCAATACCTGGTGTTGCATGACCACAGATTTTGAAAATTCTTTCCTTTTCAAACTTAGAGTGATGACTAATGGCACTGTGAATAGACCTTAACAAGTGGCCATGGACTAATAAAATGTCACTGCTTAGTGATTCATGACATCTAAAGTGATTCACTTTGGGGAAAGTGATTGACTGACTTTGTAAATCAGTCTTCTGGGCTAAGAGTGATGAAGGGGGAAGAGGGTTTCCAATTTTAAAATGTCATGATTTACATTTATCTAAATACTAGTAAATAGGAAATATTGACAATATTTTAAATATTCTTGATACCTGTTGGGCATCATCTTTAGATGAGCATCATCTTGGGCATAATCTTTAGGCTGTTCCCATTTTTGAGATGTCTTAATGTTTTTTCTCTGATTCAGAAAGTATTTGAGTATCTTCCGCATGCATACTGCCCACACAGTTTGGTGATGGTATATCTTATTAAAGCAGTTTAAAACATTTAGCACATATAGTTTTGTTCTTTGACAGTAGTGGTCCTTTGGAAGGATACATAAATTGTGTTTCTGAGTTGGAACAAACCATATACGTTATTAGTACTGTATGTACTTGGAAAACTTTGAAACTTATTTTAGAATTTGAGCAAATTTACCAGATAGCTATATTGAAAAAATGGTATTAATTAGCAGAGGTTGTATTTCAAAATCATTTCTATTCCTTATTGAACATGAACTTTAGGGGCAATACAAAAGACATATAAGTTTGGTTGAGGAAGTGACTTTTACAGATTAAACATGAACACTTATACAGGATAGCATATGGTTTGAGACCAAAAAGAGTAATATAGGTAAATAGTAGTAGACAAGAGGAGGTCAGTATTGGTTAGAAACGTCATGGTAATTTTCTAGAAGAATTTAGCTTTTGAAGATAGGGGTTTGATATCCAAAGAGTATCCAGGAAGAAAGAAAGTTTTCAGAGTGGAGTAACCACGTGAGCTAAGGCACATAGGTTGAAATGAGCAGTAATTGTGTGGTCCAGTGAGTAGAATAATTGAAGGAAGCAGAGGGTTGACCTTGAGTAAATAAAACTGAAAGGTGGATTGGGCCTAGATCCAGAGGGCTGAGCATGGCGGGCTGTGGAATTTGGTTCACACGATAGTGGAGAGGAACCACAGAAAGTTTTGGGGTGAGAGATTTATGTTATTAAGGCAGTGTTTTAAGACTATTAACTATAAAGCAATGGTTTTGAAATTGTGCCTTGGGGCCTCCAGGGGTGGGGCATAGGGCAAACAGAGGGGTTCCTTGATATCTGGGTCACTGTTGCAGCCCTGGAGCCCAGGATGGAGCCCAGCACCCCGCAGGAACTCAGAAATATTTGGTGAGTGAATGAATGGCACAGTTTTGGATCTCTCCCTACTCATGTTTCAATTAGAACAGAGCCACAGGACAGTAGGCTTCTATTTATTGTTTCATTTTCATTGAAATGGTTCTATATAAAAGCAGTTAAAATCCCTAACATACAGAATTAGTAAAAGAGACTGGAGGAGGGGAGACCAGAAACCAATTTGGAATCTATACTCCTAAGTCCTAATTTCATTCAGACCTCACAGTGGCTGTGTTGCATATTCCCATTACGTTGTATTAAAGAATCCTGGTGTTTCAGAAGAATTGATGCTTTTGTTCTGACATAAAAAATGTGGCATTATGTACTAAAGATAGGCAGATGGTATTTTATGGCTTTAGGATGAAATCATGACTGGCAATTAGCAGATATTGGTGTTTGCTCTTACATATTTGGGGGAGATGGAAAATGGTAGTTAACACAGACCCTGATAGGCTGATCATTGTGCTTGGATAGGTTATGTAGTACTGCATAGTTAGCTAGTTCAGATACTATTTTCACTGGAGTAGTGTTCCTTTTCCTCAAAGTATTTGGAAATGGCTGCTCAAGTTGAGTAGAGTCATAATTTTGGATAGAAGCAGCCATTATGTTTGTAAAATGCCTTTTAGAGGATTTCTACACTTTTCTAGTGACATTGTGCTTATTTGTAGGTTTCCTCCTGACAGGTGGATCCAGAGGAACTAGTGGTACTTCATTCTAAAGTGATTTGTGTAATTTGGCTTTCTCTTTGGAAATCCTCAAACACATTTCTTTAGCGCCCAGTGATGAAGTTGGTATAAGGACAGTAACTCTTTCCTTATCTCACGGAGGCCCTAGGCAGTTTTCTTAATCACTTTCATCCTTAGCTTTCTCTCTGGCCAAGCTAGGATGTTTCTGCTGAAACCCATTTCATGGAGGACTGTAGTTAGAGGGTTGTCAAGTGTATACTTTGACATAGTCCCTGTATTTATAAGGTTATGTCACAGTAAGAATATAAGAATGGTGAGTATTGAAGTAGATTAATTTGATATGTCTTCTGTAGGTTTTGGCTTATTAAAAGGCTTATTAAATTAACTCAAGGAGTAACTGACTGGGGCGCCTGGGTGGCTCAGTCGGTTAAGTGTTTGCCTTCAGCTTAGGTCATGATCCCAGTGTCCTGGGATCAAGCCCCAGGTCGGGCTCCCTGCTTAGTGAGGAGCCTGCTTCTCCCTCTCCCTCTGCTGCTCCCCGTGCTTGTGCTCTCTCTGTCAAATAAACAAATAAAATCTTAAAAAAAAAAAAAGGAGAAATTGACTAAATTCAGAAAATAGTAGAAGGTGGTTACTCCTCTTATTTACTGTGGGTGAAAACTGGTGAACAGATTTCTTCTTAACTAGTATTTGAAAAAATTCTTTAAATTTACAAGGTCAGATGTTGACATGCAGAATTGGGGAGGGGAGATGAGGGAGCAGTTGTGATGTGGGAGTTCCTAAAATTGGCCACAAATGAGAATTACTGGGGTAAGGGTATTGGTGTTTGTTCAGAATGTAATTTCGAAGGCCCACCCCAAATACAGTAAATTAGAATCTCCAGAGATGGGCTCTCAGCATCTGCATTTAAAATATGTTCCGTAGGTTAGTCTGATGTAGCCAGAGGACCAGCATTTGGGAACCTTTGGTTCCAGGGGCTTCTTACCACAGTTGGAGTGAAATAAAAACTCTTTATCTCAGCCTTTAGGGCTCTCCGTAACCTTGCCTTCACCACTGATCTCCTTCCCTTGTTTGTACCACTCTTTGCCTTGTTTACTGTGTTTCATCAGGCTGGTGTTTTTTCTGTTCCTAAAACAAGCCAGCACGCCAGTCAGAATGGCTACAATTAACAGCTCAGGAAACAACAGATGTTGGCGAGGATGTGGAGAAAGGGGAACCCTTTTACACTGCTGGTGGGAATGCAAACTGGTGCATACACTCTGCAAAACAGCATGGAGGTTCCTCAAAAAGTTAAAGCTAGAACTACCCTATGAACCAGCAACTGAACTACTAGGGATTTATCTGAAGAATACAGAAGTAGGGATTTGAAGGGGCACCTGCACCCCAATGTTTATAGCAGCAATGTCGACAGTAGTCAAAGTATGGAAAGAGCTCAGATGTCCATCAACGGATAAATGGATAAAGAAAATGTGGTATATATACAGTGGCATTTTATTCAGCCATCAAAAAAATGAAATCTTACCATTTGCAACGACATGGATGAAACTAGAGGGTATTGTGCTAAGCAAAATAAGTCAGTCAGAGAAAGACAAATACATGATTTCAGTCATATGTGGAATTTAAGAAACAAAACAGATGAATATAGAGGAAGGGAAGGAAAAATAAAATAAGACGAAAACAGAGAGAGAGACAAGCCATGAAAGACTCTTAACTATAGGGAACAAACTGAGGGTTGCTGGAGGGGAGGTAGGTGGGGGGAAGGAGGAACTGGGTGATGGGCATTAAGGAGGGCACTTGAAGTAATGAGCACTGGGTGTTATATGCAAATGATGAATCACTAAACTGTACCTCTGAAACTAATAATACACTATATGTTAATTGAATTGAATTTAAATAAAAAATAAAACAAACCAAGCACATTCCCACCTTTGGTCTTTGCACTTGATTTTCCCTCTGCCTGGAATACCATGCCCCTGTATATTTGCATGGATGATTCATTCTGGTCTTGGATCGAATGTCTCTTCCTCAGAGATGCCTGTTGACACCCTCCGGTCTGATGTTGCCCCCAGCACCCCATCAGTCTCTCTCACGTCACTGTTTAATTCATTGTACTTGTCACTAACTGGAATGATCATGTTTATTTTCTGTCTCTCTCCTCTAGAATGTACACTGCATGGAGGCAGGGTCCTTGCTAGTCTTGTTCACTCTTCTCTCTCCAACACCTAGAATAGAGGCTGGTCCTTAATAAGTACTCAAGAGACACTGGTTTTGAGACAAATCTGCTCTTACCAGCCAGTGAACTCATGTAGTTTTAGAATCTAGTCGAGGAAAGGACAGAAGTTGCTCAGGTGATCAAGCTATAGTCTTTTTATTTTTAATTTTAATTAAAAAAAATTTTTTTTGAGCTATAGTCTTACAGATGCAGTCATTTCCTATAACTCTCTTTGTCTTCCTGTCTAGCTGAGTCGACCTCAGGGCGAGGCCAGTACCTGAAACGCATCCGATACCATGGCAGAGGTCGCTTTGGGATCATGGAGAAGGTTTTTTGCCATTATTTTGTGAAGTTGGTGGAAGGCCCCCCACCTCCACGTGAGGCACCGAAGACGGCAGTCACCCACGCCAAAGAGTATATTCAGGAGCTCCGCAACCGGACCATTATTCACACTCTGTGATAGGGGATTCAGAAGCCACAGTGTATTTATTTTGCCATTTATTTCTTAAAAACAAACAAATTAAAGACAAATGCTTTTTATGATTTGTCATTGAGTTATTGCAGTATGAAGTATAATTGCTCATTTTATATGAATATTTATAAGGCTTTGCCCATCCCTTTTGAACCACTGGGTGTATTTATGCATTTGCAACTTGGAAGGGGAAATCAGCTTTAAACAGAGTATAATTCAGAAGGTTTATTTGAGTACCTTTGGCAGGGAATGTTAACTTTCCAACTGCAGGTGGCAGTTTAGATACTGGCCTTGAGTAGAATGTTACAGAATAAGAAAGCTTGTTCTTGTTTCACTTGGTTTTCTCTTGGGACTGGGGAGGAGATAGTGGAGGTGAGCATAGCTACATGTATTTTAGGGCATTCTGTAATTCTGTTTTTGCTTTCACTGTTGACATAGGCCAATAGGTGAGGCATTATATTTTCTGTTACTGCTTTAGCAGTAACTTGGAACTACAGAAGTTTATTAGATACATTAATCTAGAACTCCAAGAACCCTTTAACTGAGAAAGTTTTCTTCTAGTTAAGTCTGTTTTCATGTCTCCTTCCAACAATGCTTTCTTTCTACTGCTTGAATATCTTGTTCTGGATTGATTAATTTTTCACAGTGAATTCTATTACTGAGAGAAGAATTGAACCAGTCTGAGTGTTGCATTCCAAAATAAGGCAGTAGGTGGCACCCATTTACCTCTTATTAACAGAAAATTGTTAGTATTAGAGTGAGTGTTCAGCACTAGCTGGCTCTCATTGATACGAGTGTTTTCACTGACAAGAAGCCCTAGTCCAATGTTGCTCAAACTTAAGTATACAGAGGAAGACCCTGGGTACTTGCTTGTTAATACAGACTTCTGGGTCTCGCCCCCACGATTCTGATTCACCAGGTCTTATGAGGGGCGAGTTTCAGAAGTCTGTATTTTAAAAAAACGAGGACTTCTAGATGATTCTGTTTGTAGGGAACCACACTTGAGAATACTCCTCTAGTCTGAAGAATGAAGTTGAAGTGCCATGTTTTAAGATGGCATTAATGATAGCTACTATTTACTAGAAGCTCATTATTTACCAAGCTCTGTGCTAGGATTTTACATAAGTCTTCACAATATCCTGCAAACCATAGGTGTTATTTTGTCACTTTATAAAGGAAGAAACTGAAGCACATAGAATTCAAATAACTACCTCAGTGTCACATAGTGTGTAAAAATACTGGAGCGATGGTTGATTTAGAAACTAGTTTTCTAAAGTACCTGGTTCTGTATACCTAATGAATATACAGGTGGGTTTTTGTGCCTTTCCAGTTAACCTAATGCATGGGTGAAAAGGCAAAGGGCTCAGTGGAATAAACCATTAGGGCTTAGGACAGATTCATTCTGGGTCCTAAGTTATTGTGGCATGGATTCATGGAAATAACACTGGAGTGGTAAAAGGCGACCTTCATTCTCATCCTGGTGTACTCATTAACCAGAAAGAAGACTCTGGGCAGGTCCCTTCCCTCCCTGGCCTCTATTTTATTCATCTACAAAACAAGAGGTTAATTGTTTCTTGTAGACCACCTTCAGAATCACTCGAAGAGCTGGTTAAAAAAATGCAAATTCCTAGGTGCTACTGTCACACTAAGTGAATAAGAATCTCATGTGGACACTTGAACTTTTAACAAGTGCCCCAGTGATGTGCATACTGGAGAATCACTGGACCACAGAGGGTCTCTGTGCTCTATTTCAGTGCAGATGTTCCATGATTCTTAGCCTGGGAGTTGTGAATTCCTCAGGCATAACTAAAACAAACCAGGTGGTGATGTGGACTCCATAACTATTTTGAAAGAGTTAAGGGCAAAGGAAATGAAGGAAATTTGCTGTGATCTAAGCTGAATCCTTCATTCATCTGGAAATGCTTCTGATGTGTTAAAAAGTGTAATAGTAGCTAACATACAGCACTATGTACCTAGCACTGTTATAAGAACTTCATGTACCTCATCTCAATGAATCTTTCCCATTGTGACTGGTGCAGTGTACTTCTGATAGTTTCCACGGCCAAGACTGCATTTTCTTTTTCTTTTTCTTTTTTTTAATTTGCAAAGTGAATTCTAAGTCTTACGTTTATTTAAATAACCTCCAGTGAGAACAGAGTGGGCCAATTACTACCCTTTCCTCCTAATACCAATGGACCAAGACAGGGAGAGTAAGCATACCCTGCAGCCAGCCTGCCAGCCACTCGCGTGAGGGGCAGGGCGCCTCTCAATGAGGGCAGCCCCGGCCCCGGCCCGCAGCTGGGGGAGCATCCACTGTTGAGCGAGGGTTTTTGATGGTTTCATCTACTGACAAGATAAGGCAGGTGGCCTCAGAGGCTGCGGTCAGGGCACTGATGCGCACCATGGCTGGCTCCCACACAAAGGCCTCGACATCAGCAATGTCCTCGTACCACATGCCCCCCTGGGCACGCTGCGCCCGCAGCTTGTTGAGGATGTTTGTGGCATCAAAGCCAGCATTGTCACACAGCTGGCGTGGGATAATTTCCAAGGCCTTGGCATATGCCCCAATCAACAGCTGCTGTTTTCCTGGAATGGTCCTTGAGTAATCCCGCAGGGACTTGGAGAGCTCCATCTCAATGGCCCCACCACCAGCCACCACTGAATCGTTCTTGATGGCCTTCCTGACAATCATGATGGTGTCGTGCAGGGACTGCTCTGTCTCCTCCATAAACTGCTCAGCACTGCCATGAAGGATGATCATGCAAGTCTTGGCCTTGGGAGAGCCAGTGAAGAAATTGTACCTCTCGCCTCCAATCTGGGTCTCTTCAAAGTCCTGGCAGCGGCCCAGCACATCTGACGACAGAGCATTCACACTCGTTTGGATGGAGCCTCCGCAGGCCATCATCGTCCTCTTTTTTTTTTTTGAGAGAGAATGAGGGACAGAGAGCACGAGAGGGAAGAGGGCAGAGGGAGAAGCAGACCCCCTGCTGAGCAGGGAGCCCGATGCGGGACTCG